TCTGTTCAGATTCGATGAAATGAGAACTACTTCGAAATGTATACAATTCCCAGATCCTTTCGCGTGATTAATGAATAAGTGAAGGGATGGAGAATATAGATTGAGCATGGAATTATTAACAATTGATTTAGTTGTTTTTTTTTTCTTTTTGTTTGATAGGTAGCATGTCGAGTTTAACAATTATTTTTTGATTATTACGATGGAATTTTATTGTAGGAATGCGTTTGAGAACAGGATTTCTCGAAAATATTCGTCTTTTATCTTTAGCTTCGCGTTTAGAGAGAAATTATTCTATAAAGCAACTCTCGAGAGTTTCGATTATTCGGTTCAAAGGCTGCATTCGAGAACGTGAAAAATTATTTATTGCCATAGCGTGCAAGTTTAGAACAAGTTTATATGTCTCGATAAAAATACTTTTATTCCAAAAATATTGTAGCAATATGAATATAGTATTCAGTATAAATAAATAAATAAATAAATAAATAAACTTTTGAAAGCAACTCTCGAGAATTTCGATTATTATCCAAAGGGTGTAAATATATATTTAAGAACAAAAAAAGTACTTTTTACCATAGCATACAACTTCAGAACAATTCTATATATCATTTTTAAAAAGAACATCTCAATAAAAATCCTATTCTAAAAGTATTGAATCGAAAAAATAAATAAATAAACTTCTGAAAGCAACTCTCGAGAGTTTCAGTTTTCGATTACTATCCAAATATACATTTAAGAAAAGTATTTTTCTCCATAGAACAACTCTATATAATCATCTCAATAAAAACAATTCCATTCTAAAAATATTGCAACAATCAACGAAATCTGAATATCCGCTATCGAAAAAAAAAAAAAAATAAATAAATAAATAAATAAACTTCTGAAAGAAATTCTCGAGAGTTTCACTTTCGCAAAACTATCATCTCATCGACTTGGAGGACGGAAATTAGTCGACAAATCGGTCCGGATGGCTCGCGCGAAAAAAGACCTTTTATTTTTTTTTCAACAGTTTTCGCAGAGGAGACAATTACCAGCCACGGCCATTGATGTGTTCGTTATCGCCTCTATTTTTTTTTTTTTTTTTTTTTTTCTCTCTCTCCCTCCACCAGGATGATATCCCCCCAGGGCGAAACACGAGCGCCGAAAAATTTCCATCCGTAATGAAAGCTACAAAAAACTACGAGCGACGGGAATCGTCGCGAAACGCCACTATTTATGCCCGCGTACCCGCGGATTATTTATCTCTCCCGCGATTCGATATTCCGAATTATTAACAAATGTTACGAGGGTTGAAAATCTACGATATACTGTATACTGTATACCATGCTCGATATTCTTCCCCCCTCCTCGTGCTGACTAACGTCGTGCAATTGATGACTCGAGCCCCTCTCCTCCTCATCCTCCTCCTCTTCGTTCAACACTTCGAACGAATTATTCGAATAATTAAATTTAATCGTCACCGTGATATCGGGATTGTGCACGCGTTCTCGTATCTGTCTTTCCTGGATTTTTATTCGTCGGAGGCTTCCATCGGATGAGATGTTTATTGGGATAGTGAAAAAAAGCGTGGATACTGATGGCGGTTCGATCTTTTGGAATTCGAGTTTTGATGTCGATCGAATAATTTTTGTTAATTTCGTTATATTTTAGGTTATTGTCAGGAGATTAGGATTTGCGGAAACATTGAATTATTATACTTGCGTTTTGAATTAAGTTTTGTTTACTTTGTTCTTCTTTTTAATTTTTTGGGGGGGGGGATTTTATGGTATTTGTTGTTAAGAAATTGTTAAGTCGATATTGTCTGGTAATTTAGATCAATAATATTTGTTTATTTTATAATCAGTAATCGATCAGTTATTTTAGAATGGAAAGGGATGAAAATTTATGTATTATTCCTTTCAGACAGGAAGATATTATATTTAAAATTTAACCAATCGTTCGAGTAAAGGGAAGAAGATTTACAATATTTTTCCTTTGAAAGAGGATGAATTTCGTGTCGCGTTTCCCATTTCTTCGGTAAGTGATTCGTTCATGGTTAGACGTTCCTCTCCCCATGATGCTCCTTCGAGCAAGTTAATTCGTAGACGTTAATCCACTCTTCGAGGAGCAAGCCGAGGATGATTCTTGTCTCGAAAACTCTTTCCACCACGTTCTAGATCTTCTCGCACAACCGAAATCAAAGTCTCTCAGAGTCGCAACACCGTAGGATAGAGGATATATTATTAAGTATTCACAGGGTGGAGGCGAATTATCGAAAACCGCGACGCGAGAAATTCGAAACTTTTCTCATGAAACTAGCAGACGTGGAAATCCACAACGACATGGAATTTCCACGATTCTCGAACGAGAAACGAGAGAGATGCTAATCGCCCATCTTTTTTTTTCTTTTTTTTATCCTCGATTTGAGGGGGAAGAATTTTGTCAAAATGGCGGCGTTAATAAATTAGAGCGGCAAGTTTCGTGGGATTAAAGGAAGGAGGGTGGAAAAGAATAAAAGAATTTTTGAATCAGAGTTGTTATTTATACTTTATATTTAAATTAATTTTCGATATAGATAGGGAAAAGAAAGAATTGTTAAATTAATCCTTCAATTCAAGAAAATTGTGAAATTAAAAATGTTTGAGTAATTTGTTATATAAGTGATAATGATATGAA